TGGACACTGCTACTCCCCCGGTTGGCGCATCCTCCCCAAGCCCTGCGTCTACCCAGGTCGCTGCGGCTTACTCCTGTCGGTCGCTCACTCACCTGTCGCTTCTGTAGCACCACCACCTAGGTCACCCCGCACTCCGGCGTCTGCGTCACATGTCTCAGCACGGTCTCGTCCTAGGTCTCCCTGCGTTGCTTCCTTCCCTCCCTCCCTCGCCTGAGCCGCCGTGCACGCCCTGCATCGAGGGCCGGCTCCGCCGTGCTCCTCACTCCTCCTTGCTCCGCCCTGCCACCACACCCCTCCTGACCGTGCACATGTACGTCTGAGGCCCAGCCCCCGTCCACGGACCGTGTCGGGAGCGCTACTTTCTCGTGCTGATCGACGACTTCACGCGCTACACCACAGTGTTCCCCTTGGAGCGGAAGGCCAACGTGCCTAGCGTTCTTATCCCGTGGGTCGTAGCTGCGCGCCTCTACCGCGGTCTCCCTGTGCTGTGTCTCCACTCCTACCATGGTGGCGAGTTCGCCTCTGGTCGGCTTGGTCAGTTCTGTCGTGCGGAGGGCATCACCCAGTCGTACACCCTACCGGACTCTCCGCAGCAGAATGGGGTCGCTGAGCGACACATTGGTTTGATCATGGAGGTGGCTCGTACCTCCATGATTCATGCCAGTGCACCCCATTTTCTGTGGCCATTCGTCATTCGCTACAGTACGTCGCTCACCAGCTTAACCAGTGACCGCGCTCCCAGCGGCCGTAGGTTTCGCCGACCCTCCTTTGGACCGGGTTCCTTGGTGACGCCTCTGCGTTCCACGTCTGGGGCTGTCTTGCTCACATTCGTGCCTCTGGCACAGACAAGCTCACCGCCCGCACTGTCCCCTGTTTCTTTCTCGGTTTCCCCCTTGACTCGTCGACGAGTCTGTCTCATTTTACCACCACTTTCCCAACCGAGGTCTCCCGGTTTCCCCTCCCCTGTTTCTGGTTCCCACTCCCCAGGGAACTGCGCTTGGAGCTTGGGAAAAATATCGCGCCAGCCGCAATGATGACGAAATTGGGCTGGCGCGAGCGGGAAAATGTTCAAAGACGGGCGGGGGTTACTTCTACTGACCATTCGTGTAACTTTTTTCCTGCATTTTCTAACTAACGGTGGAACCTGACTGATGAAACATGTTGCGAACTCGCTAATTCTGATTGTTTATATTGTATCACTGACCGTACATGTTATCGGGGCCCCTAATACTGAGCGCCGAAATACTTTCCCTTGATTAGGGCCCAAGGGTACCAACCTTCAGCGAAGGGCACGAACGGGCAATGGTAAAGATTGAAGATGATGTGATACAGGTTCGTCCCAAGTTGAGATGCTTGAGACTCTTGCACTTCATCACCTGCATGAGTTGAAGCAGATTCAAGGGGAATTACCATAAACTTAGTACAGCCTGCATTGTACTTTGTACAAATGTTTCAAGTGTTTCAGCCGACATACCTCACTTGCAAGCCTTGTAAGAACGACAATTAGTAGGCTCTGATAACTTTCAATACCAAATGGCTCTCATCTAGTCAATCGCATCTGCAACACGGAAAACCATAGCAAGAGACTCACTAGTCGACAGATGCCAGCGTCAGAGACACCCTTCACACCGCACAAGGAAAAGCCACAACATGGGCGTGAAAGAAGCACGATGCGATCCACAGCCTTCCATATTGGAATAGTGGAAATGCCAGACCCAACCCTATACCTTGCTTGTTCTCTCTTGTTTCTAGTTATTCTAGTATTCTAACAGCTGAAGCAGCAACGAATGCCGCCGCACGTGCCACGGCAATTGCAGCAGCTGCGACAATGGCCGCCGTCCGCTCTGAAGCAGGAGCTGCAGCCATACCAACTGTACCAGTGGCCAAGATAAAGTCGCCGATGCCGCTCCGTTCTAACCTCATGGACAAAAACACCACCATGATGGTCTGGCTTTTCACGATGGAGCTTTATTTTGACGCTGTCGGGATTTCTGTTGACGGTTTAAAAATCAAACTGGCTGTTTCACTACTAAGGGGACCTGCACTGGATTGGTGGCGATCGACGCTAAGTGAGACGGGGACTTTGGCAGGGAACAGTCAGGAGTTTTTCGGGAGTTCAGAATCTGCTGCCCCGGACGCTACGTCAATTTTCGGAGCGACCAAGATTCGCACGTGGAAAGCGTGGGGTATATCCCATATCCGCCTCGGACAACGCACGTACGAAGCTGGACACCTGGCGCCAGTTGACCTCTGTCCAGGATAAAGCGTAATCATTTCAGGCACTGTTCGGCCAAATCACTGACCTATCAGAAACCGAGAAGAAGAACTAGTTCATCGTGGGGCTCAAATCCGACGTTCGCTATGAAGTGAGGATGCGACGCCCATCGACGTTTGAGGAAGTAGTGGTGATTGCCGGCCTGTACGATGCCAATAAAAAATACGCGAGATCGGTTTCACGGAAAGGAAATAGTTTTCGTGGCCAGGATCAACAGCCCTCGATCAATGGCATTGTGGCGAACGACGAAGATCGCAGGAAGCGACAGTGTTTTTACTGCCACCGGCCGCGTCACCGATATGCTGACTACCGTGACCGGAAGCAGAGGGAAAACAACGATGGGGATAAGCGGGGAAACGACTCCCGTCAGTAGCAAACGGCCCCCCTACTAACATAGTTGCATCGCCCGAGAAACAGCATCTCCACCGGGTAATGGTACCGGTACATGCTATCGACCGCTCTCGGATGAATAACGGGGATGAACCTGTGGGTTACCCTGTGCTGGTGGAAGGAAGGTTAACGACAAAAATGTAAAAATCTTCATCGATGGTGGTGCGAGCCACAGCCTGATTCACCGACCGACGGCGAAATTTTTTAGCTTACCCCTAGAGCGGTGTCTACCCGAGATCGATGAGCGATAGGTCGACGGCACCCCGCTGGCGATACGCGATCGCGTGCGAACAGTTCGCATGAACTGTGGTGATAGTCTCGGTTTCAGCGCGCCGATGCTGGCGACGACACTCGACGGCTACGATGTGCTGGTGGGACGAGATTGGCTTCGACGACAAAACCCGTAGATCGATTCGAAGACAGGCGAGTGCACAGTCAAGTGTGCGAATGGTCGGCAGATACTGCCAAAATGGCAAAGAGATCCCTGCGGCGTTCATCAGTGACAGAGACCCAAAATTTACCTCGCGCTTCTGGCAAGACACGTGGAACTGGTACGGCACCCGCCAACAGTTCTCATCCGCCTATCACCCGAAAACCGACGGACAGACAGAACGGACGAAGCAGACCATGGAACAGTTGATTCGCACGAACTGCCCGGATATCAGCGAATGAGAGGATTCGCTACCCATGCTCGAGTTTTCCTACAACAATGCACCCTCCGCCACGATCAATCATTCGCTTTTTTTTTCTTTCTGAATTACGGGATGGATCCGACAGTACCCATTTCCACCAACGTCGAAAGCCAAGTCCCTCGCTCGCAGCAGTTTGTCGAGGACTTCAAACAGCCCACAGGAAAGCCATCGAATTTATCCGAAAAGCCAATGTCACTGCCCGCCAATACGCCGACCGCCACAGACGAGATATTACCTTGACTGTGATGAAATTAGTCCTCCTCGACACAAAAAAACTTCGCCGGCAGATACCGTCAAAACTTCGACCCCACTACTGTGGACGTTTCAAAATCATCAAGATGATAACCCCAGTGACCGCCCAACTCCGCCAGCCCGACAACTGGCAAATTCATGATTCCTTCCACGTCAGCCTCCTTCGTCCTTTTGTTGCCGAAGCGTCAAACGTCGCCCGACTGCCGATCGCCCAGGATCTACGACCAGCCGAGGAGACGCTCATCGAACCAGCAAAGATCCTGAGCCATCGCGTCAGGATCAACGACCAGGAACGACAAGTTGACTTTCTGATACGATGGACTCACCGTACGTGCGAGGACGACACGTGGGTTCCCTCGGTACAAGTACAGTCACATATCGTACTCCGTGACTATCGGGCAACGTCGCAAATATAGACCACCTTCGCTAGAGGGGGGGGGGGTAGTGTAAGAAAATGTCCATTCCTTAACGCACCACACCGCTAACGTGTACCCCAACCCCACACGGCACAAACACCTGCCCTAGCTTCGGCCCGTACACGCCATGCCGAACCATTCCCCGTCACTCTAAAGCGTTCCGCATCCTTGGATGCCATTGTTGACCCTATTGGCTCACACGGCTAGGATTGCTCCGATGTTCCTATATCTTGCTTCGTCATTCCATTGTAGGACATTATGCTATTATGAACCACGACATTCGATTCCGCGCTCCTCTGGTGAAACACTCTTAACAACCTCACTCAATACAAGACCAACAGTAGGGATGGCCAAGTCCCTTGTTGCGGTTGAAGCAATTTTGGCAGTTAATGTTTCACGCCTCATGCATCTGGCAGGAGGTCCCATGATAAAGCAGGCCTATGCCAAACTACGACGGAGCTAATGTGACAGCACGAGACTCGTGCTATGCGACACGTCACAAATATATGGATTTTCCAGCTGTACGAAATACAGGTAGTTACCTGGGTTTGATCCAGTTGCGAACACATATCTTTCAACATCCACAAGGAATAGAGGAAGTTTAGGTTGCTTTTACATGTCCAAATAACATGTGCAACCTATACCATAGCCTTGTACATTATTCTGGATCATGTTGCCCGGTTCAACCATGCTGAGTGTTCAGACTGTGCTAATTTCGAGTCCAGCTGAGCCACGCCCTTATCGCGAACGAGTCCAGCCTGACCGTTGACTTCTTTCAACGCGAAACCTTTTCGGTGGCCTGCGGTTTTCAGAACGCAGCCTGCCCCACCGCCACTGCAGGTCAAACGAAGCGGCCACGTGGCCTGCCCGACCGCCAAACCAAACCTCGTGGGAAATTGTCGGGGGTCCCAATTCGCGGCCCGGAACAGGGTGAATAAATTCCAACATTTCCAACATTTGCCACCACAACTCCCAAAGCCAACACAAACAAGCAAATCCAATTCGAGGCAAATCTCTGCTCTCTCTGCTCCGCTCTGCTCTCCTCTTCCAGCATATCACAATGGCGCGTTCGTTTCCTCGCGCTGCTTTGGCTCTGCTCCTCTTCGTCGCACTCGCAGGTGTGCAACTCTTTGCCCAAGTCTCAGATTCCTGGTTTCCCGTTCAATTCCCTCTCCCCAGCCTCTGTTTCCCGCCAAGCATCAGCACCTGTGTTATCTAAGATTGAATGATATCCAGGCTAAACTTTTGGAGTCCCATAAAGCTCCTTGGAAGCGCCTCGATCACTAACCCTAATTCTCCTTTGCCTGTGCTCCCTCTGTGTCCACCCATATCTCCTTTGCTTCAGCAGTTCTCACTCCATCTGCCCTCGCTCGTACCGGGCTTGGAATCAGCTCCAAGATTCTGGGTGAGTGTCATCTCATCAGAAAGAGAGCCCCTTTATAACAAAAACCTGCAAACTACAAGCTCAATTTTTTTTTACTACCGGTACAACAGGGTTTTTTTACGCCTTACTTCCCAACTTCATTTTGTATTTTGTTTCCGTTTTCCCCACCAGCTTCTCTCCGTGGGACGCTCAACAGTTGTGGTGGAAGAGGGGCTGACGTCAGATCCGACACTAACGGCATTGCTGACATCAGGATTCTCAGAAGGTACCTCCAACTTCTCATTTCCCCTCATCGCACCAAAATGCATCGCCTTTTTAATGTCATCGCCTCAGGTTTCACTGCTTCTCTCCCTCCCCACTTCTACCCTGCTAACCCTCTCTCCATCTCCCTCCCCCTCCCCCCTCACATCACCCCCCAGGGGCACCTCTGTGTACCTTGCCTACAAGATCACAGCGCAAGGCATCGCCCAGCCGCCCTCCTCCCCCCCAGCCATCCTCACTCGCAACCCCTGCACCATCCCCTCCCTCTCCTCCACTCTCGGAGCCGCAGCTGATGTGGGTGCCAAAGCGGCTGCCAGCACAGGTTCGGATAGCGCCCAAGCCAGTCTTGGGGGTTCACCAAGCCTCAATGCGGTTCCTGCTGGATTTGTTTCGGATGTGGCCGGAGCTGTTTCTGGTGTGGGGAGGGCAGCGGGGAGTGTGGCAGGCTCGGCAGGGAAGGCTGCAGGTTCAGCAGCAGGTTTGGTGGGTAATGTTGCAGGCTCGGCGGTAGGCACAGCAGGGAAAGCTGCAGGATCTGCAGGGAGCCTTGCAGGTTCGGCAGCAGGCTTGGTGGCAAATGCAGCAGGCTCCGCTGCAGGCTTGGTGGGCAACACCGCAGGCTCGGGAGTAGGCACTGCAGGAAAGGTGGTAGGTTCCGCAGGAAACCATCTCTTGCCTCACCTTGTAACTCACGGTCTAAAATCTCCGAGAAACTCGCCTCGTGGCTGAGTAACTCGCCTCGTGGCCGAGTAACTCGCCTCGTGGCCGAGTAACTCGCCTCGTGGCCGAGTAACTCGCCCCCTGGCCGAGTAAATCCCCCCACATCGAATATTTGGGGTGTAAGTCACCATCTCTTGCCTCACCTTGTAACTCACGGCCTAAAATCTCCGAGAAACTCACCCCGTGGCCGAGCAACTCGCCCCGTGGCCGAGCAACTCGCCCCGTGGCCGAGTAACTCGCTTCATGCCCGAGTATCTCCCCTCATGCCTGAGTAAGTCGCCTCATGGCCTCATGGTTCCTAACCTTTCTATTCCTCTCGCTCTCTACTAACTCTGGCCGCTGCAGCTCCCTCCGTTGCGCCTCAGTATTTTTCACCGGAAGGTTTCCATTCAACCAACAGCTCCCTCTATCATTCCACCCACAGGTTTTGTGGCCCCCTTCCTCCAGCTTTTTGAGGCCCCCTTTCTCCTCTCCCTCTGACTCCCTCTGACCCAACCAACTTACTCTGGTGGTTGCAGCTCTCATTCGATGCCCTTCAACCAACTGACCCTTGTGCGTGCTGCAGCCTCCCTCCATTGTCCCTCACTCAATCTTTCCTGGGGGTTTTCAGGCCTCCTTCCCCTCTCCCTTTAATTCAACTCGCCTTACAGCGCTGGTAATAGCCCCCATTCGGTGCCCCTCACCCAACTGACCCTTGTGATTGCCGCAGCCACCCTCCATGCAGACCCCCTTCGGTGTCCGGACTAACATACCCTCTTCCCTCTAACTCAACTTACCCTGGGGGGTTTCAGGCCCCCTTCCCTCCTCCCTCTTACTGACATTAGTCTCGCGCTTGCTGCAGCCCCCCCTTCATTGTCTTACCTCACTAGCATTACCTCACTAGCATTACCTCACTAGCATTACCTCACTAGCATTACCTCACTAGCATTACCTCACTAGCACTACCTCACTAGCATTACCACCTCACAAGCATTACCTCACTAGCATTACCTCACTAGCATCTCCCCTGACCCTCACTAGCATCCCCCCTGACCCTCACTAGCCTCCCCCCTGACCCTCACTAGCATTACCTCACTAGCATCCCCCCTGACCCTCACTAGCATTACCTCACTAGCATCCCCCCTGACCCTCACTAGCATTACCTCACTAGCATCCCCCCTGCCCCTCACTACCCTTACCCTGAGGATTGAAGGACCCAGTTCTCCTCCCCTTACCCTGGGGATTCTTACAACGTAAAGGACACAACTGGGTATTGAAAGACACGACTTACCCTGAGGATTGAAGGACCCAGTTCTCCTCCCCCGCTCACTCCCCTTACCCTGGGGTTTCTTACACAACTTACCTTGGGGTGTCAGGCCCCCTTTCTCTCGCTCACCAAGCCCTGGGCTGGGGGTTTGAGGCCCCCTCTCAACACCTTGGCAAGGGTTAGACCAACGAGCCCACACGATAGGGCTTATGGCCTCAGGCAACACGTGGGGCATCATCATTTGCCGCCTGTCATGTGGAGCTCTAGGCTCAACCCTTCCCTTCCACTCACCCACCATAGGGGTTTCAGTCCCCTGCCCTCGTCACCCACTCAAAAACCCCTGGGGGTTTCAGCTCACCTTGGCTTAACCCCTGGGGGCATCAACCCGTAGGACCAAGCGCTAGGGGGATTCCAGCCCCCTAAAGGAAATGTACGGGCAGAGGATAGTGTAAGGATGGAGAGGGGTAGAAGTAGAGAGGGGGGTGGTAGCTCCGAGGTAACACAAGGGCAAGACATGGGAGGAGGGCTGAAACTCTCAGGGTAAGGCGATTGAAAGGCAAGAAAGGGAGTTTAAAATACCCAGGTTAAGGCGAACTAAAAGCAGAGGGGGGGGTCCCCTGCCCCTAGCTCGCCTTAACCTGCGGGTTACAACCCCCCCTCCCGCCCTGCCCCTCGCTAGCCTTACCCTGAGGATTGTAGGACCCAGTTCTCCTCCCCCGCTCACTCAACCCCCCCTCCCGCCCTGCCCCTCGCTAGCCTTACCCTGAGGATTGTAGGACCCAGTTCTCCTCCCCCGCTCACTCAACCCCCCCTCCCCCCCTGCCCCTCACTAGCCTTTCCGTGGGAGATTCAATCCATCTCCCCTGCCTTGCCCCTGTCTTGCATCTTCCCCCCTCTCCCCACGCCCCCCTCCCGTCCCCAGGGGGTTTCAGGCCCCCTTTCTCCTCTCCCTCTCACTCAACTTACAGTTGTGCAGACGCCCTCCTTTGCCCCTCCTTTGACTTACACTAGAGGTTTCAGCCCCCTCACTCAACCACCCAGGGGGGTTCATGTTAGAGATAGGCTGCAATTCGGTTGGCACAACTTTGTGTTGGCAATTTGTTGGTTTTAGGGATACGCATATTTGTTAGGTTGGATGTAGCTATGTTTTCATCCCCAACCTATCCCAACCCAATCCATCCCAAATCCTCACGATTTGGGAGGATTCCCTTGGGATTACCTCCGATTCTCTCTTATCCCTTCCCATCCTCTCCAATGCTTGGTACTTAAGGATGTATGCTCTTGCTCATTCTATCAATGAAGTTCTCAGTTTCTGATAGTTCAGGCCCCCTTTCCCTCACCCACAACTTACAGCAGCATCTGCAGACGCCCTCCTTTGCCCGTTCCTTGACTTCGATTGCTGGTCTCGCCCCCCTCAGTCAACCACCCAGGGGGTTTCAGCCCCCTCACTCAACCAGCCAGGGGGTTACAGCCCCCTCACTCAACCACCCAGGGGGTTTCAGCCCCCTCACTCAACCACCCAGGGGTTAACAGCCCCCTCACTCAACCACCCAGGGGGCTTCATCCCCCTCACTCAACCACCCAGGGGGTTTCAGCCCCCACCACCCAGAGGGTTTCAGCCCCCTCACTCAACCACCCAGGGAGTTGCACCCCCTCACTCAACCACCTAGGAGGTTACAGCCCCCTCACCTCACTCAACCACCCAGGGGGTTTTCAGCCCCCTCACTCAACCACCGAGGGGGTTTCAGCCCCCTCACTCAATCACCGAGGGGGTTTCATCCCCCTCACTCAACCACCCAGGGGGTTTCAGCCCCCTCACTCAACCACTCAGGGGGCTTAATCCCCCTCACTCAACCACCCAGGGGGCTTCAGCCCCCTCACTCAACCACCCAGGGGGTTACAGCCCCCTCACTCAACCACCCAGGGGGCTTCATCCCCAACACTCAACCACCCAGGGGGTTTCAGCCCCCTCACTCAACCACCCAGGGGGTTTCAACCCCCTTACTCAACCACCAAGGGAAGGGGTTTCATCCACCCCACTCAACCACCCAGGGGGTGTCAGCCCCCTCAGTCAACCACCCAGGGGGTTTCACCCCCTCTTTCCCTCTCACTCAACGTACAGTGATGGTTGGGGACGCCCTTCTTTATCCATCAAACAACTCACCTTGCAAGTTTCAGCCCCACCCGCCATCCCACTTACCATTCCCATCCCCACCTCCCCCTCCCCAACCCACCTTCCCCCTCCCAGCACTAGGAGCAGCATGCAACCCACGCCCCTTCGGAAACAGCACCCCCCCCATGGCTGTGCCTTGCTGTCAAAGCGTGGCAGTGGGAAATGCACGGGCGGCCCAAGACTCAAATCCCGCCACATCCAGCATCGTAGGAGGGGACTCCCAACCAGAGCCGGCGCGCGCGGCACTGACCGGTTCCATTATACGATATGCCCTAGTGGTGTAACTTGAGGAACGACTGCCGTGCCACACACTTTCCACCGACCACACCTGACCAACAAGGCAGGCACCACAGAGGGAGCTTCCCTTAAGGGAGTGAGCTGCATGCTTGCTCCTCAGGGTGAAGGGTAATTGGGAGAAGAGAGGAGAGGAGGTGAGAGGAGGGGGTGGGCTCAATTCTCCTGCCCTTGCTCCAAGGCTCCCGATCCACATGCTGTAGGAAGGAGGGGGGGGAGAGGTGAGACGACCATACCTGTACCTGATACCGTACCTCGCTCTCTCACTCCTAACCCTAGCCTGCCTGCTACCCACCCACCCCCAACTACTGCTGCTGCTGCCGCCTCTGGTTCTGCTGCTGTCTGCTTCTCAGCTTCCTCTCTGACAATCTTCAAGTGATGCCACGTCACCTGTTGGGGGCAGAAAGGGCAGGCAGACAGGAGATAAGTTAGAGCCGGGAAACCAAGGGAGCCGGAAAGACAGTGAAACAGAGAAACAGAGAGCAAGGAATGCACGAACCAGAAAGGGAGTGAAAGACGGGAGTATGCAGAGGCAAGTGGGGTTGGAGACAAGAGGCTTACCTTGAGAGGCCAACCCCACCCCAGATACTCTCCCTCATGGCAGCATTCCTCCCGGCTTCCGCTTCACTCCCCGCCCCCAGAGGCACCTGCACGGCCACAAGGGGAGGGGTGCGGGGGATTGGCGGTGCTGACCCCCACGTCCCTCCCCTCAACCGGCTGGAGGGAAACTGTAGAGCAGTGAGTAAGGCGTGGAGGGTAGTAAGAATGGGAGGTGTGTGCATGGGTGGGGTGGTTGGCAGGTGAAAAAACCGGAGGGACCACTGAAGCAGCACTAGGCACAAGGTGCACACTTGGGGGAGGGGGGATATGTAGTTAGTCTTAATAGAAAATAGGGAGGCTTAACCTTAAAGCAGGGGGGGCACCTGGAATAAGGGGTCTGCACCATGTGACCTAGGCTGCAGCAAAAGGTTCAGTTGTAGAAGGGGAAGGCATGCAGCATGGATGGAATGATGAGGCGCGGATGCATGTGGGAGCATGTGAAAGCATGTGATGGTGTAGCATGAGAGCTTAAAGTCAAAGTAAGCGAGTGGAAGCAGTCAAATGCGAGGGAGAGAGGGAGAGAGAGAGTGTGTGGAGTGTGGACTCAACTGCTGTGGCCGCTTGTGTGCTGCCAGCTGGCAACCCCAGCCCGAGCGTCCCATTACAGTCGAGTAGAGTGCTGCTGCCCCACCCTCCCCACCCACCAGAGGCACCTGCACAGGCAGAGAGGAGGAGTAGAGGTGATTCACAGTGGGCAAAGGGTTGGAAAGAGCAAGAAACAAACAGAAAAAGAATCAAAGCGCTCACCTTGAGTGGCTGACTAGTAGCATAAATGCCTTAGCCACCACGTCCCCCCAATACTCTCCTCCCTTGCAGCCAAGTGAAGTGCTGCTACCCCCCTCCCTCCCGCATCCTGCCCCTCCCTCACCAACCACCAGAGGCACCTGCACAGGCAGAGAGGAGGAGTAGAGGTGAGTCACAGTGAGCAAAGGAAACAGGGCTGACAAAAAGGGAAAAACTATTCAAGTGCTCACCTTGAGTG